ATCTATCTATCTATCTATCTATCTATCTATCTATCTATCTATCTATCATCTAATCTAGTATTGAGTTTTATTTTTCTAAGGTAAGCACGCAAATGTGTCTTATTTTGAAAATTAAACAGGAAGTTTCACTTGCTGCGCATGACGCCGCCTCCATCGCCCGAGCGCCGCTGCCACCTCGGATGCGCGCGGACTAGTCTCCATTGACACTTTCTCCTTTTGAAAATGTGACCTTTTTATTATCATTAGTTCTTAAAAATATATTTTTGTCACATTTATTTTTAGATTTGATTTGAGGCAACAGTTTCTTGTTTATTTTAGCCAATGGAGTGACGCGCGAGCTGGGGAAAATAACTTGAGCTGTGCGCGCGGGGATGGCACGTCGGTGGTGGTTTGCCGGCTTGGATGGAGGCTGTTTGTGCGTGTTATGGTGTCAGTGTTCGGGGTGAGTTCTCCTGGGGAACTATGGAGCAGAGGAAGAGTATTTTCTGCTCCGTCTTCTTCGCAGCGCTGCTCCGGCTGAGCTCATCCCAGGTCCTCCGAATCGGTAAGCGCAACAGCTGTTTACGCGCCGTGAGCTTTGGGTTTCCCCGAGCGCAGTCAGAACCAGAGTCCGGCTCACGTGCAGCGCTGTTCAATGCCTGTTCGTTTTTGTGCTTTAAACAGAAAGGTATTATGGGATATACGCTCAAGTCATTGAAACTGCGGGACTGAAAGTATTACATAAAAAAAAAAAAAAAAAAAATAATAAAAACTTTCTCCTCTTGTTTTAAGAGACACATTTTGCCAGATTTTCTCAAGCCAGATTTGAGAATAATCATTTTTTCAAAATAAATTTGATAAAATTACCCAGCAATGACACAAAAGAGCTAGATTTTTTTTAATGAATAAAAAAAAGGTTTTTATTTATTTATTTATTTATTTATTTATTTATTTATTTATTTATTTATTTATTTATCATGGTGTGATCCTGAAGTAGCCTATTAACAAACTTGTTTGATAAAAAAAAAAAAAGTATTTTATATATATATAAACATTAAACACAAAATATTTTACTCACAGTTTCTATTGTATGGTTTTTGGTTTGATGTTTTATTTTAGATTTTTTTATTTTCATGTTACAAATTACCGTATTTTTTCGACTATAAGGCACACCAGATTATAAGGCGCATTAAGCGAA